TAGTGAAATAAGCCAGTCCAAAAAAGACAAATAACATATGTTTTCCTTGATTTAGTGGCAACTAATAGAGTACCAAAAATGCAATATATAGGAATGAAATTAACATTTTTGAGCTTTGCTGAGTGTTTATAGCCCTAAACAGTGTTTTTTTTTCTCCTTACTATTTGTAAGAATATTTATTGTAGGGTTAATCTTATGAGCATAAAGTAAACTGGAAGTAGATTATTCTAAAAATAAGAGCACTAATAATAGAGAAAGGAGGAAGGACAGTGGGAGTGTGGGAAGGAGTGAGGGTAGGGTAAAAAGTATCACTACATTCCTAACTGTATACATGAAATACATTAAATTTGTAAATATGTAAATAAAAATAGATATTTTTAGAAAAAAACAAAAATACTAATATGTAAAGAATGGGTAATATAAGTATCTCAGTCAAAAACATGTGAAAATATGTGAACATGTAAAATATATATAAGAAAAATCAATACACACGCAGAAATAAAGCTACTTCAATAGTAATAGTAGAACCCAACTAAAATTGGGCATTGTGATAGTCCTTTTAATTAACAAACTGTCAAAAGATTTATAGCTATGGATATAGCTTGGTAGATGTACAGAATTGGGTACTATTGCCCTAGCTAGTGGGTACATAAATATTATAATCTTCTGGAGCCCAATTAGGAAAAGGGCCTCATTTTTTCTGATAAAATAAGGATGCTCTTTTGAATGGCATCAGAGGCAGATAGACTGTGAAGCCAAAGACTGAAATTTCAGGGACCTACACTATCCTCAAACTAGGAGAATTCTGACAAAGTTTTTACCCAGTAATACAATTTGAAAAACTTGAAAAGTGAGTTATTTTATGTTCTTACACATTAAAAATGCACACCTCCATAATTACATGTCCAGGTAGGTTTCTCAACTGTAAAAAATAGATCATTCTGCTGTGGGAATGTTAATAATAGGGAAAGCTACACATTTGTTGGACCAGAGGTATATGGGACACTTCTATACTTTCCTCTTAGTTTCATTTTTAACCTAGTGTTCAGAAGTGAAATCTCCTTTTCAGAAATGCCCACCACGGGGCCAGCATTGTGGTGTAGCAGGATAAACCATGACACATTGTAGTAAAACTCCTCACAGGAAAACATAAAATCAAAAAATGTGCACACACCATTGGCCCAACTAACTATAAAAAAGAGAAGATACAAATTAATAAAATCAGAGGTGAAAAAAGAAATGTAAAACAAAAACCACAGAAATAAAGAATCATCAGAGTATACTACAAATAGCTATATGCCAACAAAACTGGAAACCTAGAAAAAATGGATAGATTCCTTAACAAATATGACCTACCTAAATTGAATCATGAAGACATAGAGAACTCAAACAGACCAATACCCAAGACAGCACTCAAATCAAGACAAGCATCCCATATCAGCACCAGTTTGTGTCCAAGCTGCTGCTTTTCAAGTTCATAACTTGCCTAATGCACTTGGGAAATCAGCAGAAGATGGCCCAAGTACCTGCGCCGCTGCCACTCACATGGGAGACCTGAAAGAAGCTCCTGGCTCCTGCCTTCTATCTCACCCAGCCCTGTGGCCCCTTGGATTGTGAATCAAAAATGGAAGATCTCTTTGTCTCTCTGTAACTCTGCATTCAAATCAATAACTCGTTTATTTAAATGCCCACTTTGCAACATTTACCCATCTAGACCCGACAAAACTGGATGTGACTTGAAATTATATTCTTACATAAAAAAAGAAATATTCAGTAAGAAATTCCTCAATGAAATTGTATTCATAGATTGCCTTAATGGATATTAGAGAAACAGTGTACCTTTAGTAGATTTTAAAATTTAATTTTTCTTTTATTTAGATTAGCTCTTTTATAATTACTCTATCAGCATTCTTCTCTTTAATACATACAAACTCTTTCTTACGTTACAATAAAACTTTTACTTATGTTAAATTTAAAAATATCAATTTATAAGGGGTAACCAGATATCCTGAATTCATATGAAGATTCTTTCTATTTTATGAATAAATAAGTACAAGATTTGTATAGAAATCCAGAATGTTAACAACATTGGTATTCATGGGAATACAAATGAAATTATGATAAAATAATAACACTTTGCCTTTTATTAAAAATGTCATGAATTATATCCATAAAATGGATTAATATAACACAAATGAGTTTATTAATATTATGGAAACTCAATCTTGCTATTCTAAATGTCTACGTAATCTGAAAATCTTGGGAATATCAGGCTGTTAATAATTTTTGTAAAATGATTAAATCTAACATACAATATGATAAAAGTTTTGTCCCATTGTCTTATAAATATTCAGGAAAATCTCACATACATTTCCCAAAGTAACACTGTTGTGTCATTTATAATGAGTAATATGAAGTGAAAGTAGCATTGCACCAGCTGTCAGAACTACCCTTTGGGGAGAGCAAGTGAAGGCAACCACCTTCTTCCATGATCCAGGACATTAGACAAGAACACTTGTTCCTCTGATCTTTCATATATATCTCAAAAGTTGTAGATTAGCCTCATGAAAACTTTTCTTTCTCTTTTTCTTTTAAAATTTACTGAATTTTTATTTTCATGTGAAAGACAGAAAGAGCTAGAGAGAAACAGAGAGCAAGCTGCCATCCACTTGTTCACTATCCAAATGCCTGCAACAGCCAGGGAGCAGACCAGTCCAAAGCCAGGAGCTGGGAATTCAATTTAGGTCTCCTGCATGGGTGGCAGAGACCCAACTTTTTGAGTCATCGCCAACTGTCTCCCAGAAGGCACATTAGCAGCAATCTGGAATGGAGAGTAGAGTCAGGAGTAGAACCCAGGTAGTCCCAAATGGGGTGCAAGCAATGCCCACTCTTTTGTTGTTGTTACATTTAAAAAATCTATTCATTTGGTAGGGGGGAGAGAGGAAGAGCAAGCGTATTCCCATCCACTGGTTCACTCCTCAAATGCTGTTTCAGCCTTGGCTAGGCCAGGTCAAATCTTATCATCAAGGTCTGCCATGTAACCCAATGTACTTGAGTCATTACCACTACTTCCTAGGGTCCGCATTAGCAGGAAGTTAGAAGCATGAGCCAGAGCCACAGATTTAACCCAAGAATTCAAATGTGGGAATTACGCATGTAACTACTAAACTAAAACCCACTTCCTATACTAGATTTGTTTTGTTTTGGTTTTTGGTTTTTTTGTTTTTTGTTTTGTTTTGTTTTAGCAGGTAGAGTTGTAGACAGTGAGAGAGAGACAGAGAGAAAGGTCTTCCTTCCGTTGGTTCACCCCCCAAATGGCTGCCATGGCTGGAACTACATCAGTCTGAAGCCAGGAGCCAGGTGCTTCTTCCTGGTCTCCCATGCGGGTGCAGGAGCCCAAGCACCTGGGCCATCCTCCACTGCCCTCCCAGGCCACAGCAGAGAGCTGGACTGGAAGAGAAGCAACCAGGACTAGAACCGGCACCCATATGGGATGCCAGCGCCACAGGCAGAGGATTAGCCAAGTGAGCCGTGGCGCCGGCCCCTATACTAGATATTTTAAATAGTAATTTTATTAATATAATGATAATAGAAGGAAAGACTTGTTTATACAGGAACCTATACTATTTGAGAAATGACTTAAATATAGCCATGATCTCACTCAAACAAATAGCAAACAACCCTCCTATTCTTTAAAAAGTATGGATTATATCCCATACTTCCAAACCCAACTGAGTGGAAAAATCTTAAAAGTTTGAGAAGCGCATTCATGAAAGTTAATATTTTAAATCAAACTCCTATTTTAATGCATTTTCCTTGTGCTGTCCAGCTATATTCAGAATTACTCTAATTTCCTTTTAAAAATTTAACTTAATTTTTATTAATTTTCTATTTTATTTTAATTGATATGTAATTTTAATTTTTATTTGTTTTAAAATTTGATTTTAACTTAATTTAAATTTATGTTATTTGAAAGTCAGTTGTTGGTGAGCGCCACAGCTCACTTGGCTAATCCTCCACCTGTGGCACCAGCACCCCAGATTCCAGTCCCAGTTGGGGCGCCAAATTCTGTCCCAGCTGCTCCCCTTCCAGCCCAGCTCTCTGCTGTGGCCTGGGAGGGCAGTGGAGGATGGCCCAAGTCATTAGGCCCTGCACCCACATGGGAGACCAGGAAGAAGCACCTGGCTCCTGGCTTCCATCCACGCAGTGCGCTGGCCACAGCGCATCGACCGTAGCAACCATTTTGGGGATGAACCAATGGAAAGGAAGACCTTTCTCTCTGTTTCTCTCTCTCACTGTCTAACTCTGCCTGTCAAAAAATAAATAAAGTCAGTTGTTATAGAAAGAGAGAGAAAGAGAAAAAGAGAGATATGGATAGAATCTTCTACACTTCGGTTCACTCTTCCAAATGATCAAAACAACCAGGGCTCAGCCAGGTAAAGCAAGGAGCCAGGAACTTCATCTGGGTCTCTCACATGGCTGCCAGGGGTGCAAATAGTTAGATCACCTTCTGTTGCTTTTGTAAGGTTTCTGTACATTTAACAAAATATCATGACAGGGCATCTTTTTCAAAGTAAACAGATCTATAGATATTTCTAAAAATTCTTTCTTTCTAAAAATATTTCTAAAAATGGAGAAAAAATTAGGTTTTACAATTTGTGCTTGGTCAAATATTTTGCCTTTTGTATGGAAAAATAAGGGCATTAAAAAATGAGTGGGTTACATATTAAGTGACTGTTCATGCTGGATGTGAAATCTGAAGCTTTAGGAATCTTCCTAGAATTAAAACATTGTAACAACTTATATTAAATTACCACAAAATATATGATAGAAAAGCATAGCTTGTAATAGGGTAAGAATAGTTCCATGGGAAAATATCAGATGAAAATATAATTATCTCCTAGTGAACACACACATTCAAACCAATATAAATCTATATCACCTGCCAAATAATTTGTCTATTTTATGAAACAGGAAATTTGAAAGACAATTTATTCTACCTGCGGAAGTATTGTAGATGAAGGTGGACTTAGTCTGATAAACCCACTCTTCTTTAGATTTCCAGATAGAAAATGGGCAACTGGGTAGCTGCTATGCTTTCAAATCAGGTTGCCATTCAATCAAAATCTTTTGAAGTGTCAGGTATCACAAGAAGAAAACATAATACAACAACTATATTAGTTAAATAATGAATTGTGAAAACTTGAATGCTTTAGTTCTCTTGAAAGAGGAAAGAAATTATATACACATGAAGTTTCAACATCTGGGCCAAGATATGTGAGCAAATCACTTTAAGAGTCAGTGTCTATATATGCAGAATGGATTTAATCCTATTACCCGCCTTATATGTTCCTTTCAAAAATAGCATCACATAATAATGTAAAGAACTCATCTCAGTCCCTGGAAATTGATACACATATATAAATGTGAATTATTATAGTTTGGTAAACTTAGCTTGCCCAGAAACAAAGCCAAGTCTTTCTGTCCCCACATCCTTGAGGTTTTTGTTGATTCTATTGCTCAAAATAAATATGAGTGAAAGTATATTGAATTTTGCTTTCTTTAAATGCAGATAATGAGAAGAAATAAGCTTAGGACTATTTAAGGTAGTCCATTATCAGCAAAATTTGTATTTAACTAACCTATCTTCTCCATCAATTCATACATTTGCTGTTATCTCCACCTCCCACTCTGTATTCTCCAATCATTGAAATATGTAGAAGAGACTTAAAGTTAACAGTCCATTAGAACCATATGTTAACAGACATAACTGCCATTTAATCCAGAAAGCATTGAGCACTTACTACCTACAAAACACCTTGTGAAACATCAGAGGGCAATGATTCAAAAATTGGCTAAGATACTCAATTGATGAGTTTGTAGGGAAACAGACACAGTCTTCTGTTACTGAAGGTAAACTAATACAGATCCCATAGAGGACAGCTTGACCTTAACCATGGGAATTTTAGATGAAAATAACTTTCAGAACAGAATCATTTTTATGTAATAGGTACTAAAAAAGAGCAGTATTATTTGTAATAGTATATGTGGCAACATACTAAACATATATCAGTAAGAAAGAGGTTATGTAAATTGTATTACAAACATGCAGTTAAATATAAGGAAGCTGGAAAAAATGAAGGTGCATGATATGTATTAAGGAAAATTTCTCTTAAGATCATTGCTAAGTAAGTAATTTGATATTGTTCAAAAAATTGATAAAAATAGGCCAAAAATCTGCATTTATATTTGCCAACACATTTTAAAAACTAAATTTTAAAGAATACAAAGATAAAAGGAGAATGATAAGTAGGCAGAGAGTAGTAGAAATTAGATCATTATCAATGTTTCACTACATATCTTTTTCATGTTTTCTGCATATGGAATAGCATAAATATTTTATTCTTTTGAAATAAAAATTCTTTGAGAAGCACCTACATTAGTTTTTTTTTTTTTTTTTTTTTGGACAGGCAGAGTGGTCAGTGAGAGAGAGAGACAGAGAGAAAGGTCTTCCTTTTCCATTGGTTCACACCCTAATGCCCGCTGCAGCAGGTGGGCTGCTGCCGGCGCACCGCGCTGATCCCGAAGCCAGGAGCCAGGTGCTTCTCCTGGTCTCCCATGCGGGTGCAGGGCCCAAGCACTTGGGCCATCCTCCACTGCACTCCCGGGCCACAGCAGAGAGCTGGCCTGGACGAGGAGCAACCGGGACAGAATCTGGCGCCCTGACCGGGACTAGAACCCAGGGTGCCAGCACTGCAGGTGGAGAATTAGCTTATTGAGCCTCGGTGCTGGCCGTACATTAGTTTTTGTTGGTTCTTACTGAATACTAAAATGTAAGAGAATAAAGTAGGCAGCAGGATCAGTTAACAAGCTATTATAATGGTCCAGATAATAGCTGGTAGAGTTGACTCTGGTTATATTTCAATGAAGAACTAGAAGTATTTGGTGAAGTTGAATGCAGAGTTTAAAACCAAAGAAAGAACAAGAAAAGCATAACAGAAATCACAGAAGACAGTGGAAAAACAAATTTGTGAAAAAACTGAAAAAGGAAACTTTTTATTTTTGGATATGTGACACTAGAAACAACAGGAAGTGCAATCACTGTATCGGTATATTGAATGGATTAAATAAATTAGAAGCTAGAGACAATGAGAACACTGAAGATTATTTTTACTCATCCATACTAGAATGGTAGAAGTTGCAAAGGAAAGAATTAGATTGAAAAGCATTAATTTCAAATTATTCAATATTTATTCATCTGTCCATTTATGTATTTTCTTATTGTAATTGTCTACTTGTCATACATTGTGAGACAAGTGTCAAAATCATCCACAGTTTGAATTTATCTCAAAGATGATTTTTTATTGGTTTGGATTTTGAAATAATATTTTTAAGTAATTTGAATTTGAATGTTTTTGGATAGGGTTCACATGTGGCTTGCCTTTCCTTCATTTTGTTGGACTCTCAGTGTTTATATATTGATGTGCCTTACTTCTAATATCCCTTCCTTTGAGTATGTGGCCACAAGTTACACTCTGACTTTCCCTAAGGCTTGAGAATACTTAAAAATAAAAACAAGTGTATATATATATATATATATTTATATATATATATTCTTCAATTTAAATTTTGATAAAATTAAGGAAAACAAAGAGTAAGAAATTTTCTGTGAAGTCTCATTCTGAATATGCATTCTATATGGCAGAACACAAAGTTGACCTTAACTTGCCAACTACCAGTGAGACAAGGAAATACATGGTTCACGATGCTCATGAGATTTAAAAACATAAAAGATTGCCCATGAGAAAAACAAATGGTAATTGAAGTGAAAGGTGAGGAAGAGACCAAAATAATTTTTCCTAAACAAGATATTTATATCATAACATCTCTGAATTTATCATGACTATAATAAAACATTTGAATAAATATGTAAATAGTCAAAATAATATGCCATAGTATCTCTTTTTTTAAATACTGTGTGGCCTAAAAATATTTTAGACATTTATCAGTAGAAGCTATCTATTAGAAACATGGTTTCATAAAGTGTGAGATATCAATTCTTTGAAAAGTATCTAAGATTATTTGCGGATTAAGGGAAAGTTTAATATCTTTAAAGACAGTCATACTAGATGAAAAGTAAATTCTGGAGAAAGTCATGAAACTGTTCATGTAGCAATCTAATTTTATTTTATTTTCATATGAATTAACAATTTTCTAAGCACATCACATACACACCCACACACATACACACACACAGAGTCAAGGCCATGTCACCTCTGCAGGAGATGACAAGGGAAAGTAATCTGAATTTACTTTAATTTGCTGAAAAATCCAAAGGGTAATTAAGGTTCCCAAATTATGCTTGAAAATAATATAGCTATATTATTCAAGACATTGTGAAAATATGATGCATTATTATTACGTTTGCAGTATGATATAAGTAGTTAGTTTAAAATAGGAAATTCAAAAATTTTTGAACAATGTATGAAAGAGTACCTTTTTATGTAATTTTCTCATAAATTTAAGGCTGGTATTTTAAAACAGCTAAGTAAACTCAAGTTTTCCAGTGGCATGATCTTTTCAGTTCTAAGTAGTTTCCCACATCCTGTTGTCTCACTTGAGGTCAAAGTTACTTGCCTTTTACCGTCATGCTTACATTACTGTTTCTTTCAAAATATAGAAACATTTTCTATACCTATGTCTCTATCAAAAGAGAGAAAACAAAAGGTAGAAGCAAAAGACTAGACGAATCACAAAATGTATGCCAAGTATATTTTCAATGTAAAACACATGCTCTGTAGTATCTTTACTCATTCTCATCGCCTACCTGATTACCATAGATATTTGAATTTGTCTATCACCATTTCCAGGCAAAGAAAAAGGTAACTAAAAGAATGCCATGTGCTAGAGCATTCATGTATGTGGGTAAGAGGTGTCCAGAAGACAAAAAGGAAATAAAAATCTCTGGTTTCATATACTCACCAGCATTAAATTATATCTAAAATCATCATCATAGCCAAAATCAGAATAAAAAAATTAACTGTGATCAAAGATGCCCCAGGCCATCTAAAGAAAAGTCTGAAAAGGAAGGTACTCGGAAAACGCTTTCTTATAGAGGAATTCTAATGCTTTAGAACATCCAACATTAAGAACATTGACATTAATCAACTCCTAACGGTGCTCCAAAGAAAGAAAACTCAAAGGATACATGTTTGTTTAGAAATAAATTTAAGTTAAGGAATTGACTCACATTATTTTGGAAATTGGTAAATCCAAATTTTGCTGGGTGGGCATAAAAGCCTAGAGACTCGGAAGGGGCCAATGTTGCAGTTCCAGTCCAGAGACCAGCTGCTGGCATATTTTCTTTTTGCCTAGAGAAGACCAGACTTGTTCTGTTCAAGCCTTTCACAGAATGGGGCCCACCCACATAATAGATGGTGGTCTGCTTTACTCCAAGTCCACTGGTTTAAATGTTGATCTTATCCAAACCACTCTCACAAAAACATCCAGAATAATATTTGACCACATAGCTGGGCACCATATGGCCAAGCTCTGTTGACACAAGTTCACACAGCTCATCTCAGCAAATTCTCTATCAGCCAACAGCTACACACAAAAAATTCACACATTCTCCTTTTATGTGAGGTTCATCTCCCTTCTGTTCTTTACAGGACTATGTGAAGAAAAGTGTTCAGTGTAGAAATTGTTGAGTGTCCTGAAAAACTTGAGGAAATCTAGGCATTTGTTCATTTAGTTAGCTGCTTCTGATTTGCAAAGCTAAGTGCATAGAGGACCATAAAGATTTAACATGACATCAATCTATGACTATATTGTGACATCGATATTTACCTTTCTGAGACTGTCAAAGAGCTTTAGTTCTGAATTATGTCTGCATATCTAATTATATCAAAAGTTATAGCATGCTTTCCTGGCCTAGTTCACAGCACAAAAATTTCCCAGGTGGTGTAAAATGAGCACTTGTATAAAACAAATCAATTTTAATGCATGTTTTGGAGATGTTAGCATTTCCATTTCTGGCTATTGTGTTTTAAACCTCATCATACTTACAAACATCTGATAATGTTATTCCCTGTGATGATTGTTAGTTTCACCACCTGAATAAAATTGTTACTCCTCTGTTCAGAGACTTGGATATGGTCGAATACTACCTTTGAATTTTCAGAAGTTAGAGATGTACTGGCAAAAGTGAATTTATATCCAGTTACTTTTGAGCATAAGATAAAGTGTTCCTGTATTATTTAGAATGTCATTATTACTGAAAAGTGATGTTATTCTTTTCCTGTTTAGAGAAAATAGATTTCTGAAAGATTATTATGCATAAAGGCTTATGGCAGGTTCAGTTAGCTTTGTGAATAGAAAAACCACATGGATTTTTTAAAAACAGTCAGCAAACAAAGGATATTAAATGAATAAATTTTTATAGCAGATTGGTGCAAAAGGGAGCACCAAAAGCACTTTAAAAGGCTTATTTAACTTGCCCATCAGGATGTAATATACAATTATTAGTAGTAGTTTCCACAAATTCAAAAAAACATGGAACGGCTATAACTAGTGCTACATTTGTATGGACGTATTCACCTAAGAGGTTTTTAAAAACTAAATCACTCAATTGTCTTTAGATATATTTTCCCATGTATTTGTCTCATTTTCAGCTTTCTTGTGTTCAACTTTATAGCATATTATAGATTTGTGATTATATCATAAAATTTTGGAAACCTTGCTGACAAAAGATTTTAGTTTCCAAAGTATGATCTTTTAAAGAGTTGCCTTCTTTGAATATAATACCATACTTTTCTTATAATTTTATATTTAAAATTTAGATTTTAAAAATTCATTTAAAATTGAATCTCTCTTTAGATATATTTAGTTTCCTAGTTTAAATTTTTATGGAAATATCCATGTCATAGCATGCAATCCAATTATCAGTCCAAATCATCATTACAAAAAATTTGTGGTTTGAGCAGTGTAAAATAATTAGGGATAGATACTCAACCAAGTTAGCTGATTCAATTATATACAAAAGAAATAAAAAATTGTACTTAAGAATTGATGGCCCTGCACCCCATGGGAGACCAGGAAAAGCACCTGGCTCCTGGCTCCTGCCATGGGATCAGCGCGGTGCGCCGGCCGCGGTGCGCCAGCCGCAGCGCGCCGGCCGCGGCGGCCATTGGAGGGTGAACCAACGGCAAAGGAAGACCTTTCGCTCTGTCTCTCTCTCTCACTGTCCACTCTGTCTGTCAAAAAAAATAAAAAAATAAAAAAAAGAATTGATGAGGCCAATGATGTGGTACAGTGGTAAGCTGTTCCTTGCAAACCTCATATCCAATATTGGAGCACAGGTTCAAATCCCAACTTCACTTCCCATCCAGCGTCTTCCCAATATAACTCAGAAGGCAGCAAAAGATGGTCCAAATCCTTGGGCCCCTGCCAATCATGGATATGTAGGAGACAGGTTGGGGTTCCTGGCTCCAACTTCAGCCTGATGCAGAGCTGGCTTTTGGAATCATTTAGAGAGTAAATCAACAGGTAGTACCTCTCTCTCTCTCTCTTTCTTTCTCTCTCTCTCTCTCTCTCTGCCTTTCAAATAAATTAATAAACATTTAAAAACTCGTATTTCTCCTGCTGTCTTACTATTTCATTCTTCTATTCTTTGTAAATAAATTAATTGATCATGATTCATTTAATCAATACCCAAAGGAAGAGAACTTGAAAATAAGAGGACTTGGATAAATGATAATGTCCTAAAAATTAAGAAACATAGGTGGCATTATTTTTCCTATGTATATTCCCACACACTTATAAGTACATTTTTAAAATAATTGTTTATTGATTTGAAGGTCAGAGTAACAGAGAGAGGGAAAGACAGAGAGAGAAAGAGATCTTGCATGCACTGGTGTGTTGTCAGAATGGCCACTATGTCTACAGATTCACCCCTGTGAACCATCTGGGTTATTGCCTATGAAGTCAATGACTACATGGAGTAATTCTCACTACAAGTATGAGGGAAACTAAATCTGCATATGAATGACTGAACAATGCTCAATGGAATGCATGTTTGTTAAAATTCAAAAGTCACAATTTTCACATGAAAATACATCTTGAGATTTACAAAAAAACTTTTAGAATATAAAAATCTGTTTTTATGTCATTTAAAGCTGCTTATAAATGGTATACATTTTATATCGACACTATATATTAAGTAAACATGCATTTATAATAGAAAATAAAAAGTGACGCTTTCACTTATTCAAATTATACTTTTGATTAATTTCATCTATTTTAGTTCTTCACGTTCAAGTTACTGACTTTCTTCCTTAGACTAAATTAAAAAAATGTCAGAAAAAAGCTCAATTAGCTGAAAAGGAAAATCAGGAGCAGGAGGAGATGAGGGCAGGGGTTGTGGCACAGAGGGTTGAACCTCTGTCTCGTGACTGACTGTGTGGAATGAAGTCCTGCCTCTGCTTCCTGTCCAGATTATCCTGAGAGGCAGCAGACAATCCTTCAATTACTTGGGTTTCTGCCACCACTTGGGAGTCCTGGATTGATTCCTGGCTTTAGCATGGCCCAGTCCCAGCTAATGCCTGCATTTGGAGAGTGTGAACATCAGATGGAAGGTATTTCTCTTTCCTTTTCTCTACTTTTTTGTTTACTAATGATATTGAGAATCTTATTATCGTTTTAGTTTTGTCATTTGTGTGTATGTGTGTAAACTTCCTATTTTTCTATTTTTTTTTGCTCTTGATATCCAATTGAAGGAAATTTGTATTTAGAAATTAAATATGGGAGGAGGTGCTGTCGCAAAGTGGGTTAAGTGGCTGCCTGCAATGCCAGCATCCCATATGGCCACGGGTTTCAGTCCCAGCTGTTCCACTTCTGATCCAGTTCCCTGCTAATGTACCTGGGAAAGAAGCAGAAGATGGCCCAAGTATTCGGGCCCTTGCACCCATGTGGGAGACCCAGAAAAAGTTCCCGGCTCCTAGCTTTGGCCTGGCCCAGCCCTGGCCTTTGCAGCCACTTGGGAGTGAATCAGTGGGTGCAAGATCTCTCTCCCTCTCTCACTGTTCCTCCCTCTCTATCTGTAACTCTGCCATTCAAATAAATAAATAAATCTTTTTTTAAGAAAACGTAGAGGCACCAGAAGTTTTTTTGTCTGTCTACATCTATGAAATCTCTTAGCATATCACAATGAGGCAAAAATGTCTCTTAGCCTATAAAAAATTTCCCATAAAACCTATAATATAAACATTTTAAAAACTAGATAATAAGTACATAATAAAAGAAAACTTTTTTATATGGCTCTACAGAGTGTTTGTGATTTAAACTAGTAGCCTAGTTATGCAGTAGGCTATACCATCTAGGTTTATGTAAGATACTCTACAATGTTCACACAACACCAAAATCACCTAACAGTATGTTTCTCAGAATACATCCCCGAGTGATGCAAGATTGGGCACAATTTTTTTCACATTACCTTGGGTGGCCCTAATGCCAAAGCTTAAAATGCTGCATAGCATGGGTTGGTTTTCCAGCCTCCAAGAACAGCTGTTTCTCCGACCCCAATAACCTTTGCTAAGTCCCCTCAAGACCCTTCTGGCTTCTGCTCCCTACCAAGTCCTGAAGCCAATGCATTATGTGTTTACTTTTTTGTATTAAGAACAACTGTCAAGTACTACTTTTTCAGCTAATTTTCACCCTATAGCAATCTATTTCAACTCACAGAGGCCTAAAACCAAAACTATTTTCTATATTATGAAGATCTGTGAATTGCCGAGGCCCAGTTGGGAGATTTCTGAGTGCCTTGCCTATGTTCTCTCCTGTAATGACAGTTAGATGGAACAGTAGGGGCTGGAGTCATTTGGTACTTCCACTGGGATGCCAGGATTTAGCTCCCTGTAGTATCAGAGACTGTGCTCCAAGTTTCTCCTCTGGATCTCATGTGTTTTCTCCAGCAGGGTGCTCACTTATCACATGGCAGTTTACACTTCCCAAAAGAGTGTAAAGCAAAATTTGTCAGACCTTTTGGAAGGCTTCTGCTGGCACTAGCACTCCCTCTATTGATTATACCGCGACAGAGCCAGTACAACAACAAAGCAAAAGCTTTACCTCTTACTGGTGGACTGCAACAAAATTTGTGGCCATTTCTCATCAAAAATCATTTCTTTGCTTCATTTCCCACTTCAATAGGAACTTATATAGTTCAGCATTAAGCGAAGCTTTTTGGTTTGTTTGAGTTAAAGGATAATAGTGGATTTTGTAATCATGTTATAGGAACTTATTTTTCTCATCTTGGCATGAGTTACTATCAGAAAAGAATATCACTTTTCAAATGATATTAATTTTTATTAAAATACTATCATGCATAAACAACACATAAACAAGAATAGTGTCTGCAAATACTAGCTGATAGAATAAAAAAGGGAGAGAACAATCCAACATGGGAAGTGAGATACACAGCAGAATGGCAGATGTCCTAAACAGCACCCTGGCCTCAGAATCAGCCCTTAAGGCATGCGGATCTGGCTGAAAAGCCCCTGAGAATATTTCAGGCATGGAAAGCCAAGATACTCTGGGGGGAAAAAAAAATCTAAATGAAAGATCTCCACGAGTGAGATCCCAGTGGAAAGAACGGGTCATCAAAGAAGGAGGTACCTTTCTCTGAAGGGAGGAGAGAACTTCCATTTTGACCATGGCCTTGTCTAAAAATTATCAGAGTCGGTGAACTCAGGGGGCTTCCATAGCCTTGGCAGCTCATGACAAGAGCCTAGGCTGATTACTGAGGCCATAAACAAGAGTGTCAATTTGTTAAGTCAACAACAGGAGTCACTGTGCACTTACTCCTTATGTAGGATCTTTGTCCTTAGTGTGCTGCACATTGAGATTTAATGCTGTAACTACTACTCAAGCAGTATTTTTCACTTTATGTTTCTGTGTGGGAGCAAACTGTTGAAATCTTTACTTAATGTATGCTAAACAGATCTTCTGTATATAAAGAGAATCGAAAATGAATCTTGATGTGAATGGAAGGGGAGAGGGAGTGGGAAAGGGGAGGGTTGCAGGTGGGAGGGACGTTATGGGGGGGGAGCCATTGTAATCCATATTCTGTACTTTGGAAATTTATATTCATTAAATAAAAGTTAAAAAATACTACCATGTTTTTCTTCTTTGATGCATGAAATGATGAATTTAATAAATGGATGCTCTTATAATGAGCCATCCTTGCATTTTTGGCATAAATCTCTGATGAACTATTTGTAAAATTATTTATTGTTTTATGCGTTATTTAAATTATTTTAGGGGTCAGTGCTGTGGCATAGTGGGTAAAGTCACCGCCTGCAGTGCCAGCATCCCATATGGCTGCTGGTTAGAGACCCAGCAGCTCCTCTTCCGATCCAGATCTCTGCTGTGGCCTGGGAAGCAGCAGAAGATGGTAAGTCCTTATGCCCCTGCACCCAATGGGACACCTGAGAGAAGCTCTTGGCTTCTGGCTTCAGATCAGCCCAGCTCCACTCGTTGCAGCCCTTTGGGGAGTGAACCAGCAGATGGAAGATCTCTCTCTCTGTCTGCCTCTGCCTCTGCTTCTCTGTAATGCTCTTTCAAATAAGTAAATAAATAAATAAATCTTTAAAAAATAATTTTAATTAAAATTTTTCAGTAATTAAACATGAGGTCATTCTGTGGTATGTGGTTTGTGAGTATGTATATTTGTAAAAGTCTCAGTGGCAG